TGACGAAATCAAAGCAAGTCTACAAAGGCCCAGTCTGAATCTAGGCCCAAAATGATATTAAATCCATAAGCAAAATGGGCTTAATTGAATAATGGGCCTAAATTAGATATATTACTTAATGGGCCAGGTCTATTTTATTAGCTGGCCCATTTACTTAGAAGTACTATATATAGTCCCTCATTATCACCCAAAAAGGGGATGAGAATTCATAAGTAAAAACTCTTGTAACAGCTTTCTTCACAGCTAATAAAAACTCTCTTGAGATCTTTGTGTTTGCTTGCTTTCCACAGAACTTTACAAACCCTAAAGAATCACTTAGATTCTAATTGTGAGATTCGACCGCCACAGTAATATTTAGAATGATTACAAAGGAGGATGCGGAAGAATGTTATAATGGGGAGAGTGGTTAAAGGTTATGATTTTGCTACCCATTTGCTCATCATCGTATATATCCGTACTTAAGTGCCTCTCATTGTTAATTAATTATCCACTAATTTCGTCTCAAGTCCTAATTGATCACTCTTTTTGACGAGAGTGGTGTGATGTGAATAGAGCGGGGAAAATATGTCATAGAAGGATGTGGTGATTTGGTGAGACTTGAGAGTGTTAGCATTGTTTCCCACTTTCCTACCAATTTTAAATTTCGGTTTTTTTTGTTGGGCTAACATAATTTTAAAAGGAATCTCATATAATATTTTAAAGTTTTTGCTAAGTGAAACTTTGAGAGGCTGCCACGTGTTATTTTTGGTGTTAACAATTTTTCATTTTTAGTACCTTATTTTTACTTAATTTTGATATTTGTCTCTCTAGATTTTAGAATTTTTGCATTGATTCCTTAAAATAAAAATATGATATCAATATGTTAACTAAAAATAAATATTTAATTAACTTCAAATTATCTTTATAAATTAATTAAAAATATGTAAAAAACCATATTCTAATAGATAATGGGAAAACTGTCATTTTAACCGAACTATTCGTTTTGAGCCAAAATAAGTACCAACTTTCTAATGAGTCAAAAAAATACTAAACTTTGGTTGACTCGGCCAAATTAGGTATAGAATTAGTCAACTTTAACAGCTGTTAACTACCGTTTACTTTATCCTTTAAGTTTTAAAATGGCGTCGTTTTGAAATTATAAACAAACACCTCATAAGATCATTTTAATACCAAATTTTCCATTTTGAGCAAAAAAAAACCAGCTTCTTAATGAGGCATAAAATACACAAACTTATGTTGACAACCAAATTATGTATAAAATTAGTTAACTTAAGAGCAGAGTCCAGGTCCGGAGAAATGGAGAGACGAGATCCTCAGAAACTTGATCGGCTTCGCACTTAGAGCAGACAACGGCATCAAGGCACCAAAAAAATTCGACCAACATTTC